TAACAATACGCTCTGACCTTTGTGTGCACAAATGTCCCTGAATCTATCGTCATCACGTAGTGAGTTATGTTGTCGGACGACCATGACCAATGGAACTTATGGGACATTTTGGTGAAGGTCGAAACCAGACTCACAGACCTAGTACGAGTTACTCGTCACCCGAACTCTGCACACTATGGCAAGCCCAGACTTATTAGAGTGACGCTAGAATCAGTCAATGAGGTACAAAATGTTTTGCTCACTGCAAGTGCGCCACAACACGGACCCCGTGGGATATGCTTCCATCCTGATGTCTCTTGCAGCATGTGACAATCGAAAATAAACTTCTAAGAAGAACACAACAAGCAGGGTGGCTCAGACAAACTCTTTATCCATCGCGCGTCAGAGCTTCATTCCAGCGCCAGTCAAGAGTCAGGAAATCACCATTTGAAACAGGGGCAGTCCAATCGTGAAACCTTTATCTTTAACAAATTTGAGACATCATCACTCAAAAGGTTAGCTCCCTCCCCAACTGGTAGAGGATGCGGCCCAGGAATCGCAAAACTCGTGGTTCCGTCAGAGCAAACAGCAACGGATGTTTTAGAGCGTTGACGGAAAATTCAGAAAAGCCTTCTACCGGGACTTCTATTAATACCTGCAGAGGTTTTGCAAAGACCAGACATGAGCATATTTGAAAAAGCAAACCTATCGGCAATGACACTGTAGTTTCACTCGATCACTCGGTTCTGATGTATGTTTAGACGGGGAGTGAGAGCTTCCATAGCCAAAACAAGTTACAGAAGAGATGTCAGCATCCCATCAAAAACGAATAACAGCCAACCTCACATTTGTCAGCATTATCCCCCACCTGCTTCCCCTAGCGCGCTGTGGGCTCATAGTGACTGAGAAACTTACCTGCGTGTATACCAACCCAAAGCTTTTTTTCCAATAAGCTGGCCGAACTGAAAGATTATCGTTTCTAAGCCATAGCATATCATCGGTATCAATAAGACGTCGCTACACACGAGAATGACGGACGCTGCAATTTCCCTACCGGGCATGTCGCTCATCCGAGACGACAGATTCGCAAAAGGAGGAGGAGATGTAGTCCTGCATTACCTAAGCGACTTCAAGTGTGGGAACATGGCGGATTCTGACTCGCAGTTCCCCAATTCTCTTTGGTGCCGCCTGCAGCTAAAAGACAGAAACACCTGCCTTATAACTTTGGTGTACCGCCCCCTCCCCACAAACTACACCCGAAATGGACTACCACCACGCCACTACATCAAGATGCACTCTAAATGAAACATGCATTCATATCCTGCTCACTGGCGATTTCAACATACATTATTTAGAAACACTTGTCACGATTAGAGGACAAACCAGAGCTGATTAGCAAGAACTCGGTACCAGTGTTCCGCGTTACAATCGTGTCACTTTGCCCACTCGGTGCAGAACAAGTAAAGGCTCTCTGTGATGTATCTTGTGCTTACCAACAACGGACATATGATTGGTGTTAGTTGTAGGCTGCCGTCGGGAGGCAGTAAGCATGCAGTCAATAATTTCAACTCTGTTTGCTACGCGGAACAGTGAGATGAGAACCATGAGATGGTGTGCGCCATCATACGCTTCGACCACTTAACACAAATTTGTCAGCGCTACAACCTGGTCGTGCCCCTCCGAACAACACCTGGAAGTCGCCTGACTCGAGTTTTTCAAAACAGCAATCGACTGAGTACAGATGTTCCAGAGACAGGAGTTTACCATGGACCTAAAACAATTTCTTCCGTTAGAGGCAATACACGAGAATGGATGTTGGTATGTAACGCAGCATAGCCAGCGTAGAGATTAGCCCCAACGCCAGAAACTTGGGAAATCTACGTAGCCCAACACTACTATTATACTCAACTGCTCGGATAAGACAAATCCGCATATCAGAAAACATCTTAAGAATCTTCAGAGCTAACCACAAAATGTTGTGCAAGTACGTTAATCGCCTGCTGTAGGTGAGGCGGGAATTCGCTCCACTCCGGATATTTGATGACCCAACAGTAAATATCTGCGGATGCAATATGCCCCAGCATTTACCACCCCGCCGCCAGGATTTACCTGCAGCTCTTGTACAGCTGAAGCTATAGTGCAGAGGCTGACCAGTCTATGAAACCACACATCCCGGAAATTCGATACAGTTCACACAGAGGTACTGGGAGTAGAGTAAACGCCAACTAGAAGAACATTTGGTACAGTTCTTCCAAAGCTGTTTTCCCCAGAAGCGGGTTCTTGCCATGTAGAAGTCTGGATTCTTAGCTCCATTGCTCAAAGGCAGAAGCAGGACTGAGCCATGGATTTACCGCCCATTGTTTCCTCTATAAATACTGTCCAACCTCATGGAAGCCATCGTTGCCGATACGCTGGAGTCCTATCTGGATACCTACGACATTAATACTTCCAAGCAGCCGAACTTCTGTCGACAGCCTTTGTGCACAACGAATTTACTAATGGTACGCAGTTGGTTGACGCTTATGCTGTCCATGTGATTTAATTGGATAATTGGAAGACATGTGATCATCCTCATCATTGGCTATCCTTTCCAAGCACCAGTTTTACAGAATCGATGGCACTGATAAGCTGGGAACCCAGCATACTCATTCAATTGCTATTACTTGTCGTAGTGTTGTACGAATGCGCTTTAGTCTCTGTTGTCCACGTGATGTATCCCCTACTCAGCCAGAGAAAAAACAGAAGACATGACCTGCTAGATGGAAGTGTGTTAGGGGCCGAGTGTGGTTAAATTTATAGATCGTCTGCGCTTACTTCCGACTGTGAGTCTCTTGTGTTAAACAGATCCAAAAATGGTAGCGATCCCCACTGTCTGCTTGTAGACACGCCCAATTTCACGCAGTAAAACTTGCGAAACAACGAAGAACTGGCTCCGTCAGCAGCTCCGAATTGCGCAGCAACATGCTGCTGTAAGCTTAACTAGTGTCTCGAAACCGTGCCGCGAAGTTCATCAGCTGAGTTCGCCTTATACAGAGCTCGCAGCTACTTAACTGACGAAATGCATGTCTTTTGCTGTGCGGCAAAGCATAGTTCTAGGACGACGATTGACTTTGGTAATTACTATTGACTTCGCACAGGCAATCCTTACAAATCTCCTACTGATTAACGACGACATCAAGATATGGCGCTGGATTCAAGAGATTGCCGTCCAGCATCTGCTTCAGAGTGACCTAGAAACGATACATCAATAGTCAAACCAAATTCCGTGCATTGCAACGTGACTAAATGAGAGGAACTCCGCTTACCACACCGAACCATCTACTCATACAAGACTAAGAGTGCAAGTACTGAAACGATCTTCCGTCCAACGTGATCTGAGTGTGTTAGGTCAGGATGATCTGGGTTGCTCCCGGCAATCCGAAGAGGTATAGAAAACTGGTAACTAACGCCTCGGGCTGTTGAGAGTTGTGTTCGGACAAATATCCATATTTATTTTTCGACAGATGCTCAGTGCATATGTTCGCCCTCATGTCGAATACGCAATGTAAGCCCGGCATCCATGCCTGAAACATGACCTCGGTGCACTGGAGCAGTTTCAAGATCGTGCATCGAAGTAGGTCGCCAGAATGCGCCATCTCCCACACGCGCAGAGGCTGAAACGTTTGGGTATTCAGCCGACGGCATCACTGATTACAGGGCGACCTGATAATGTCATACTTGATTCTGCAGGATCAACATTATATGCACCGCTACTTACTGTAACTAAACAGTATTACAAATCTGAGAGGTTACACAATGGATCTAGCAGAAGGATACGGAGGTCTGCAGTGTCGCAGAAATTTCCTTTATATTCGCGTATGTCATCCGTGGAACGCTTGAAACGGTCGTTTCTGCCCCAACGGCTGGACGAGGCATTCATCTATTTACATTTTGTTACTTAGCACTATCCCTCCACTGTGCTCCTGGAATATACCTTCTGTTTAATAGCCGATTCTTGTTGTTGCAGTGAAACCACATGGCGTGTAGGAATGTAGCACAACAAACGATAAGTGCTTCTTTTGATAGTTAAAGTACTAGCTGTAGTTTTAGTATTTTTCGACAACCTCACCAGGCCACCCAATGGGAGTTGTAAAGCAGTGTCTCGTAACCCGTATACATGCATTATTCGTTGCTTATTGCGCACATTAAATGTAACAGCCTTGAACCATCATTTGGGAATAATCCCCGCTTCTTCGGATATTGCTAACAAAGCGGCAATTCAAGGAGAAAAGTAAACTGGTGTGTATTCTCAGTGCTTCATGAAGAAAAGCAAGGCAACTAACGAGGTACAGTATCTTTTTCTAAGCCAAATTAGTAATTCCTACTCTAACCAGCCATCCTGCTGTATAAGACTTCAACTTTTTGCTCGTCACACAGTACTAGTCTACTGTCAATTTTACGAATATTAATAATGAGAGAAATATTTAAGAAAGTTTGCTCGAGTCAAGAATGACTGCCATTTACTCATTCTCATTTCTACCATTCCAAGTCTTTCGCTCGAGAGATATAGCCTAGTATCGCACAAACACGGAAATATCCGAACTGGCGAGCAATCACGCCTAACACTATTCCAAGGTTTCGTATGAATACGCATTAGCAGAACGATATTTATAATGATGTTTGCGGACTAAGGTTATCCGTTTACCTGTAGATACGTTACGTTTCTTGCAGAGAGAAACCCTAGAGATGTGTTATGAACGACTGTCATGTTTAAGGAGGAATCACAGATTTGGTGAAGGAAAATCGTCTGATTTTGACAGGTCATCCTTTTGTTTGGTTACGTCAGCTGCACTCGAAATTAGGCACTTGAGTCCAGCAAGGGCTCAGAATGCTTTTATGGAGCTAGTTATGAGTCAATGACTCAAACATTTTAACCGTTCTACAACAAACATAGGTTTGCATAAAGCACTCTTTAAATCTTGGCTAATTCTTATCAATGAACAATGGAACAAGCACTTGGTCATTTTTGCAAAGTTACTTGCTTCGATGCCGTTGGCGAGGTATTGAAATTCCGGACAAATGAGAGCACTCCCGGCATACGCCGCATCAATATGTAGCCATAAATTGTACGAATGACAAACGGGACCCAGAGAAACCAGATTATCGAATGAACAGCAGCTTGTCGTTCCAAGAGTGGCGCAAACCTGTGTTTAAATAAAAGAATGAATGCAATAAAACAGGAGCGAAATTTTCGTTTGTTTCAATATGCAACACGAGTGAATTGTACAGGCTCTGTGAAATAAATTTTAAAATCAGTTGCTTGGCATTTGCATATCATGAACAAAATTCAGAACGCCTCTCTCTGTATGAAAATTACTGAAAACGAACAAGCAAGAAGCACAGAATTAATGCAAAGTAACTTCAGGGTCCATCGTAATCATGCAAAACTGTGCCTCACCGAAACTACTGCATCTGATATAGTGATGTAATTTGCAACTGTGATGAGATCAGTTCAAAGCTATGGACGCGCTGAAACCAAACTGGTAAACTCTTGGAAGAAAAAGGTTACGGAATTTTAATCTTCTAAAACTCGGCCTAAACAAATCCAGGCTAGGGATCAGAAAGGTGATGTTAGAATCATGTTGTGGGGTTTAGAAACGGCAAATCGAGTATGTGTAACCTAATTGCATACCTTTTATAAGCCAAAAGGGAGTCTCCTTTAGTTGAATTCGTTTCGCCGTTACCGGTGAACAGGCCACTTAAAAGTGCTGTTCTTAGTCAAGTAGCGGCGACCGCTGTTCACTGAGGTCGAACAGCATTGTGGAAATATTTGCAAAGATACATGAATTTTCGGTAATTTATATGATGCACCGACTAAATGGTACATGATATAGGATCATCGGCATGGCTATCTTGTTCTAACGTATGAATGTTTCTTCTACCAGCCTAGACAGCGCTCAATGAAACTGTAGTGTTGCCATCTTGTTACTAACAATGGCTGTTACAACTGTCTTGGGGAAGGTTTTAGTCGAGGTTGTGAGGTTTCACAAGCGCAAATAGAAAATGAATCTGCACCAAGTCTGTTAGATTCAAGTTGGCTGAGTGCCAAAATGGAGGTTTAACCAGGTTCTACGTGGACTACTTAGACAATCCGAAAGCTCTCGTATACGAGCCTTTAAGTTCAGACGTTTTCAGGCGCCTTTTAGAATGTCGTGGCTTATACAATGTAGCATTATCCCTAAGTTCAGTCTAACCAACCGGACAGCTGCGATTCCCCATCATTTATATCTCTCGACTGCTATGACAGAAAGCACCGTCTTGTTGGCATGGGGTCGTGAACCGAAATTTGCTTATCGGTGACATGGCAGTAACTGAACTATACAAATCCACCCGTATCATAACATGGTGCAGGGGAAGTCAAACATTCAGCTTGGGGTTGATTCAGAGTTGCGGTCACAGTAATGAGCCTAAGGGAGACTGCATAATAGTTGACACAGAACAGTCCTCCCGACGAATTCAGAGGATTATTAAATGATTGCTAACGGTCCGGAAGGGGTTGCTTTGGTGTGGTACAAGAAACCAGGTACGGATTCAGCTGCGCCACTCCAAAATGTCATGGAAACCGCCTGAATACAGAAGCTGCAGATCCGCATGTTCACCGATATTTGCTCTATTCTTCGTACTGCAGTTTCCTGATGGATGGGGCAGAGCTAAGAAATGTCGCTTGCTTGACGAAACGCTACCCCCAACTGATACACTTGGTACCATTGGTTCCATAGTAAACAAACAGTTATCTAGCGCTTCAATATATTGGAATATGTTTGGAACCGACTGTGATTTCATGATTTCAGAAGGTTTTGTATACAAATCGGTTTTGGTAGAGTTTTATTGTGCCACAATAAAACTCTACCAAAGCCGATTTGTATACAAAACCTTCTGAAATCAGTAATCTAGCGCATTATTCGGCTGAGTGTACGCTGCAGTTGGTGATACACATGTTGAATGTATAGATAAATTATGACTGTTGGAGCGTGAGTATCCACGGCGGAGAGGCTCCAACGCTTAACAACC